TTGGGTTGTTATTCAGCATGTGCATTATGATGCTTTCATGTTGATTTTCTTGTTGAGCATCATGCCTCATGAGCTGTTTTGTGCATGTATCCCCTCCCAAAGTGTTGCTGTTGTTTGAGATTTTGGCAATGTCAGGGGTCCAGATGGTAGTTGTACATGTTTACTGAGTTGGAAACATTGCAAACAGCCCATTGGTGTCATTATTTTACTGTGATACTGGCTTTATGGGGAACTCATTATGGCTTTTATCACACATGCTTTGTTTTTTTCCACATAACAGTTAAGCAACAGAAAATATTTCAACTCTGTGGATTTTTTCATGTCCACTTACTATACTTTTATTCATTTACATGTAATCATGTAACAGAGATAGATAGATATTGTAAAGCCCTTTGAGGCAAATTTGTAATATTGGATTGTATAAATAGAATTAACTTGATCTGACTTCTCACCATCAAGTCTTTAAGCACCAGTGAATATCAGTCCACACCACCAGTTTGTAGCACAGGCTTTGTAATAATGTAATTTGAATCATCTAAGCAATTTATAACCAAGAAAAAGTGCTTTTCTGGTTCCAGTTTTTAAAATGTGAGGATATACTGCTTCTCTGTTTTACTCTGTTTTTATATGATTGTAAACTGAATATTTTGACACTGTTGGTCAGAAAAAAACAATCACTTTGTAGACATCACTTCTAGGAACTTGAGATCAGCATTATCCATATATTGTAATGATCAACTGATTAATGAGAAATGTGTGAAATGAATCAAGATATTAAGTAATGTAACTGTCAAATACAGCCTTTCTAAAAACAGTATGTATGTGTTTTGCCTTGTGATAAGAGGACGTAGAGCATGTGACACAGTCGACCATTAACAATGACATAACCCCTGCTATCAGGATTAATGAAGGACTTTTTTTTCTCGTCATCACTTTTTATTTCCTACTTGTTTGAATTCATCGCCTTTTTCCCTGGTAACCAGCCACATACCTCCTCACTGCTGCAGTTGGAGGAGCTGTGTTTTGTCAGCGTGTTGATTAATTATAGGAGTTGAGACACTGTAGTTGTTGTGTATGTGAATGAGTGCATGTGTAGGCTGCAAATGAGCAATTCTTGAACCAAGCATTGTGTGCTTCATTTTTTATCAGTATTTCCTGGAAGAATGAGACATTTTCCTGTTTTCTTTTAAAGGGTTTGTATTAGTATAGTGAAAATACTGCAAATGTGGTAGCAGAGCTTGAGCCAAAAAAGCCCATGCAGTCCCAGATGGTCGCAGTCATAACAGTTTTATCTGAGAAGTGCATTGGCACAATCAACCACCTTTGCAACTCATAATGTTTGTTTCTGTCAGCACATTTGTAATTTTTATGTCAAAACTAATGACACAAAAGCAAAATATGGCAGAACATCACTGCTGTTTATTCTGCTATTTCCCTACATCATTTGTTAATTAGAAATACTTTAAAAATGTCCTTGTTTGTCATGGTCTTAATCCCCACTCTGCAGGCAAACTGCCCTCCTCAGGAGAGAAATGTGTTGTGTTGTGGACCCTTCTCACACCTCTGCTTCCTGACAAAGTCCCAGAATAGAACTTAAGTGCAGCTTTGTTGCCTTTTTCTTGCTTTAGTGAGCATCAGGGTTAAATGTTTGAAATGAATGCAGCAGCAGCGTCTGTGTGTGTGTGTGCAGCATGTGGGCAGGCAGAGATACAGTAGATGGTGTTTTCCTCCAAGGTTTGTTTTTTTTCTTTTTCTCATTTACTTAACTATTGTACAATGGCAAAATTTGACTTTATACATTTCAGGGGGATTTATTAGATATACTGTATACTTTTTATTCCACTATATTCATCTGACAGCTACTTTGTGGTTTGTTCTACACATAAAATGCATATGTTTATAAAGTTATTATTATATATATATTATTATAAAGTATTGCTTTAGATTAAAATACCAAGAGTATATAAAGTTACACCAGCTACAACAAATGCTACAAATGCTGCATTTTAATACATGTGCAATAATAATACAACAGTCTAAAAGGGGTCATTATCCATTATGAGTAATCGATAATATTTCATATATACAATATAATATTGTTTATATTCTTGCTTTATGACTGCATGATGAAATAATACAAGCAGCAGAGAAGGATGCTGTACGTGCAGGGGCAGTGACAGGAAGTAATGACAATGAAATGTTTGATAAGAAGCTGTATAACACGGGTCAGCAATCTTGCAGAAATTGCAAATTATAAAATATTTTCATTAGAGGACCACTATTTCCTTACTGCTTCTGTATAATTTACAACTTTGCGGAGTGCAGTATACAAACTGTTACCATGGCTTTTGGGGGAGCTCAGGGAATAATGGCTCGTCGACACACAGAGTTGGAAAGCTTGTTTTTTCTTATTTTTGAGTTAAAGATATTGCACCACCACGCTTCCATGGTGATGGCAAGAATATTTATTAAAGTGAATTAGTGATAAATCACCCTAATGTATGAATCATACATCAATAATTCCCCTTTTTTATTTGTGATCCATGATGATGAAGGTACAGAACAATAGAAATGCATGGCAAATAAAACATAAAGTCAATATTTTAGAGACCGCCTAAAATTCCACAAATAATGTTTTCAGGGGAATTCATGTCATACTAAGAGGAACAAAGCTCTTCCTGGCTTCCCTGTAGTTCAAACCCTGGTGGACTGACATTGTTGGAAGCTCTCAGTTTGTTTACAACCCTGCCCACAATACATTAGTACATTTCACCTGACAATATCTGGTCTGACTGCACCTTTAGACTAAAGTGTTAATACACTTGTGTTGGTCCATATCCATCTGTCATCAGACCTAAAACTGTGCTGTAAATCAATGTTTAGCTTCTAGGGGCCCTGCAAACACATACAGTATTCATGTCAGTGTTTGACTGGGAAAATAGATAAAACTGTGTGTTTGTGTTTGGTAAGGAGACTCTCTTGTCCTGTTTAAATTGTAGTGTTTGATCCATCCCAGGCAGGATGGTGCGTGATGCTGGAGCATCATTACACCATCTGTCTGCTATTGATTTCTCAAACATCAGTACCTTGTGTTTTTAGATACGGTGAGCTGGACCTGATGAGACTGATCCCACATTGTGCAGTGGAAATATAAAGCCTGAAACCACATCAAGCCTTACTAATGTCTGCTTTTTCACTCTGTGGTGCCCTGCAGTTTTCACTTTTTAGACTCTGAGCACATCGATATCTTCCTGGCTGAGCTGTATTTACAGCTGCGGGAGCGGATGAGCAGTGCATTAGCTGTTTACTTTCTGAGGTGGAAACTGCACACTTGACAATTGGGAAAACGTACAGCCAAATACTTTACTGCCTAATTTTCCCCGCCAAGGCCTCCCTCGGTAGATTAAACGCTCACTCACACACAATTAAAGATGCTGAAAATGTGTCAGCCCCAGTTACACCATCAGGCTCTTTTGCATCTTACTGCAGCTCCAGATGACTTTAACATGTATATTTTAGTAGCGTTCCTAAAACTCAAGAAAAGGGTGAAGGAAAAGAAACACAAGGAGTATTTTACAGACTTTTTTTTTTCAAATTCACTTGGCTTTTATTCACATTTCATATCTGACATCTGCACCGTCTGTCCATACATTCTACTACTTTTCTGAATGGTCATTTTCTCCCCATCCTAACTGATGAAAAGAGGAGGCAAGACCACCACCATCACTATTATTAATAATAATAATAATAATAATAATAATAATAATAATAATAATAAGCAGCACTGAAGAAAACAACTTTTGATTTCTCTCTCCCTTCATCACCAGCATCTTTGTTTTAAATTTACCTGAATGTAACCATCAATGATCAGTTAAAAAAAACAAATGTGTGATAAATAAATCATTATCATCATCATCATCGCCATCATCCTACCATCATCAGACTCCACACTCAAAATAATATTTATAATAATAATAATAATAATAATAATAATAATAATAATAATAATGTAGGATACAAACTCAGAAGTAAAAAAAAAAGTGACTCAAGCTTTTTTTAGGAAAGAAAACATGATTGGTCTACAGTGTGTGTATATATGTGTGTGTGGTTGTGCAATGGTCAACTGTATCCTATTCCGAGCCAGAAACACATCTGCCCTGTCGCTGCAGTAGCAGTAATGTTCCTACATCCCGCTCCAACCTTCACTATAGATCCAGTGAGACTAGATCTGCTCTGGTCCTGTTTGTTTGTTTGTTTGTTTGTGGTCATTAAGACAGTTGTGCGGAGAGCAGACAGATACTGTCTGGTACCAGTGAGCTACAGCAGGGTGCTACAACAGCAGGTAAGGCTCTCCATACTGCCAACAGCATGTTAGCACTAGTTACGCTGCGACGGGCCACGACCTACAGCTCCTACACACGCATTCACGCACTCCATGGCTTAGTATGAAATACTTTGGTCGTCACTGACATCATAATACATGATTTAGTGTCCTGTGAGGAATGGTTCTCAATGCAACTTAACATTACTTTAAACAGCGAGCTGTTTAATAAAGCCCCTTTCAGACATGCAGCTCCTTACATAAAAGTCATAACGGCAGTCCTAAGTCAGACCTAAAAACATTTCCATAACACTTCCCACAAGGGCACAAAGTCTTAATTTAATATCAATCGCATTAACATTAAGGTCACAGCAGCACAAAATATACACATTAAAGGATTAAATTCATGTCTTGTTCCCTTTTTAAAGGCCCTAAAAGTATTTTCTGCTGAAATTACAACAGATTTGGATATTTAAAAAAAAAAGCATTTGTATATTTAATCTTTTGCCTGCTATTCTGACTGGTTTAAAGTGGGCAGTTCTCATTTACAAAAGGTGATTTCATGTATTTCAACTAATCAGATTGATCACCAATTGTTTGTTTGGATATTGTCAATCAAATCTAATCAAACTACACACATACAGTCCTAATGAAGGAGAGTAGATTAAGTTTTGAGTGCTTTTTTTTGGATTGGTCCTTATTAAGTTCTGAATATTTCATGTAATAGAGAAATAATTAGAATTTAAAACCATATTTCCAGGAGCTTTAAGAGCACTATAACACATTTACTGGTTAATTATAATTTTTATGCACAAATTAAATAAAATCAGTTAAAACTGCTCTGTAAATGAGCCAATTTTAAGTTGCTGAGATTGTTCTCATGTCAGAGCTGCAGCAAAAAACTTTAATTAACAATTATCAAGAGATCCTCCTTATTTTTTTTTAAATTTTCATTCAGGCTTACTGCATGGAAGAAATAATGAATATCCTGTATATAACAATACTTTACATACAGCATGTAAGCAAACAGTCAAAGTAATGTCTTGTAATTCTGTACTTGTGCACTGTTGGGCATTATAATATAATAAAATACATAGAGTAAATTAAATGTTATAAAGTAGACTAATAAATTATGAAACTGATGAGGATGGGAACTGGTGGTGAGCTTCTCTCACACTGACAATGGTCATTAATTAAGACTTAAACGGCAAAATAAATTAATTTAACTTAATTTTAAGCTCCACCGCTCCTTCTCACGCACCAGCTGCTAAATACTGTACAAGCATTGTGAATATAGCCAGAACCAACTTTTACGTAACAAACTCTGAATGACAACAAGCCGTCACTGATAGACGTTACCGTCTGAAAAGGGCTCAACTCTTTATCACATGCCAGCTTAAAGCCAGGAGATAAGTTCAGCATGCTTTATTTCTTTTACTGAACTTTGCATACACTCTGCAGCCATGTTTTGATCTACTCTGTATGCGATGTGAGCTTTTGGTCGGGCCCCAAGTCAATCTGATAAAAACAACATTAGTGCTAAAATCCTCTTGGACATCTGGATTCTGCGGCCTGCCACCTGTGCTAGTGGAGACCATGAATACGCACAATGGTATCCAACAGCAATGATATGGTCACTGACTGTGCGTCAGAAAGGCCTCCAGGGATAGGATTAGTGTGCTTTCTCTGCGCAGTTTTTTATTCTCATCACTAGGTGGCGGTGGTCATCTTAACACTGTCACCTCTTCACCACACCGTAAGAGGATGGGATTTCTTTCTGGATGAGTGAGACACTGATGGGATACCATCATTAATAATTTATTTCAAGTCAAAAACGAATGAAAAAGCAGCTGGAAATCCAAAAGAAGCTGGTGCCGTCCTGTTCTTTGTTTGAAAGCCTGGACCTCTTCCGTCAGTTCATCCACCATCTTTCTCTCCAGCCTTTTTATCAATCCCTCTTTTGTAGAGCTATGGTGCTCTCAGTGTGGACATTCTTCCATCCAGCACCCCTTCTCTGCATTCTTTAATTTCTCTTAACAAGCCATCCATTAGACTTTCTGGTGGTCTGGTTTATGTCCTTGTACTCCCAGTTGGTTCTGCTGGTGTCAGTCACTGGTATTGGAGGTAATTTTTCAGGGACTGGGGCAAAGGGAGGCTCTCGATCTCTTGAAGCCGCTCCCGACCCAATGCCAGCCGGGCCGCACGCCGACACAAGTCCATCAGAGGAAGAGGCTCAGCTGAGGAGAGAGAAAGAGAGGGAAAGATTTTTATTTTTAAAACGTCAGGAGAGGATAATGCCTGTGTGGAAAACATAGAAAATGACTTGTGCACTGCTTAAAAGTGTGACTTAGGGCTGTTATGTATTGGTGTTTATACTTGCACCCCGGCCTTTAATACATGCATAATACATTTCATTATTTGTTATGCATGAATGAATGAGAAACAGAAGTTTAGCGGCAGAGAGAGTGATGATGCATCACCTTTAAATATTTAAACCTCCTCCACACTCTCTCACACTCTCTCACA